AATACCGTGGGTTGTGCCAGCAAAATATATTAATGTGAAACTGATGTTGCCAAAATGCCTGACATATGAAAACATATATCACTTTAAATTTCAAGCAATTTTCACTATCAAGTTATGACTTAGTACCCAAATAAACTATTCACCACAATCATTTAAGGCAAAAAGCGGTGCAAATTATCACTTTGGTTCACAGTAATACGATATGTATAACGACATTAGTTGGTTGTTCTTTTTCATTCGGTATTTCTACATCGATTGCGACTTGTTATTTAGTAGTTGCTTAATATCTCAGCCATCGATTTAGTAATCTAATGCGATGAGAAAGGAAACGTGGAAAATTTACACATATTTCAGTCTGTGGGAACTTTTATTACAATAATTATATTATTGTTAAATGCTCACTAAATGTGTTATTCAGTGCTTTGAAATTGTACAACATTCTTTGAATTACCGTATTTTTATGTTAAGGATTTCTTACAAGTGTTTTCATATTGACAAAGTTTCAAGTGTAGTACTTAAACATCGAATTTTGTGGATAATTTCCAGAACAAATCGCTTGAAAACGATCTAACATCTAAAGCTAAAATATTATTTGACAGCACTCAAGGCTTCGCGTGAAGCCTGTTGTTATAGATGTAATCAATCACATACTCGTATGTTACTAGAGCTGAAGTGTAAATATGTGTGTTCAGTAATCATTTAGAAAAGCAAAATTTGACTGTTACTAAACTATTATTTTCACCAGTATTTAGACTTTTGCGGTGCAGACGGAAGGTCTCTATGCCTGAAAAGTTAGGGCCTCATAGTTAGTGCTGTCGCCAAGGACTGTGCATTTTATGATTTTTGCCCCTGACCGAAAACTGGGTTCACATTTCAAGAGAACGGCGTTTTTCTTCTCATTTCATCGTTCACGACACGTTTAATTAATCAACACAAACGTTGTCGGTCGTCCCACTCTCGTGCAGCTACTTGGGAGGAGACTGAATCCTTTGTGGATTTGTTCAGAGGGCTGTGATGATAGTTATCACTAGTCACCAGTAACTTTAATTTATGTGACAGTTGTTTGTCTTATTTTAATAATGTGTTGTTCCTTTCGCGAGATACTCATATTTCATGATCACTTGCCAAAAGAAATGTTTTAGAAAAACTATGAACAAAACTAGAAGAGATCATATGAGAGACGAAGAAATTATAAGAAACATTTGAACAACGGCTAACATTTAATTCATTGAAAAACAACGACTGAAATGGTTCGGTTATTTAATGAGAATGAATCAAATGATGCCAGCAATGAGAACATACAGAATGAGATCAGAAACGCCAAGAGGTAGGGGATGACCAACAAGAAGATGGAATAAACGAGTCATTAATACCTTGGGACGCCACAACATCACATCATACCTGGCAACAGAGCGTGCCCTAACTCGGATACAGGTCATCTGATAACTCCTATTTCCCACTAACTTACTTTGGAAGACCCAGCGTCTGTGGCTTAGGCGTCACGAGTCTGTCTCGCAATTCCAGCATACCGTGATCGAAACCCACTGCTGGCTGCGTGGACTTTTTGCATGGTAGGAGGCGTCGCAGTTCGACCCAGCCTAAAATGGGTGCGACGATGTATGTCCTGGGAAAGTAAAGACGGACGGCGTAATACTGACAACATTACCCAGCTCTTGGCGATTGGTCTGTAAAAATATTGATGCTCTTCCCATAGCCCGGTGCACCTAAGGGAGTGAAAAGGGATCTTTACTTTACTATAGTTTGGAAGACAACGGTTGGTCTCTTATTTGTAGCAGACATTGCTATCAGGCAGTATACCATGACAAGATATCAAACCAAACCAGCTTCACATTATCACAACTATGAGCGACAAATGAATGTTGCGGATAGAAAACCTTCCTCAGCATATAACACATAGGGACAAGGATACACATCCAAACAAGAATGCCCATCACTTTTCTCTGAGTGAAAGTCTCCCTGAAATATTCACACAGGTCTTCACAGTAAAAACTCTGATACAGTCAGCATAAGCTAACCAATTATTTGATCTCACAGTATTCTCTTCTGAACTCTTGAGAAGAATGTTGCAAATACATTGGACTGCCAAAATAACTAACAATGATTGCCCGGAAATGGCTAATGAAAGTAGAGCACAATATACAACAGTGTGAAAGAGACACACACCGTTCTTTGGTCATGTGATGAGAAATGGAGCATAGGAAAATATCGTGACGACTAGAAAGATCACTGGTAGAAGAGGCAAATTCAAACCATGAGAAATGATGGTGAATAGCTTAAGACAATGGCATGGAGTAACTACATCACTCAATAATTATCACTCTGTTGTTTATCCATCAGAGATGATGGTGGCCATTCCTGTCATCCACTAAACAGAGAACAGTTTCATTTATAAGTACGTGACTGATATGGCTAATCTTGTCATGGAATATTATTGCACCTTGTGCAATTGGGATTTTGTCATTATTCTATGGGAAATGCAATTCACGACTTTTTCTGAGTTTTCTTTGTTGCATTGTTGCTGCTGTTCTGATTGCATCACCTGCACCATATCCCCCCGATGAAAGAGTAATCGCAGGATGAAAAGCCGGGGGCTACAGTTGCATACTACAGCAACAAGTGATTAAAATGAAGCAAATAGCTGAATCCTAGAAACTGAAACATATATCAGTTTCAGATTTGTGTCAGGGTAGGGGGCGTGCAAACGAATGAGCTGACAGGCTTGCAGGTGAAGCTACTCGGAAGTTTGACGTGCCATGGCCCATGCTGACATACTTAATGCTTCATGAGATGTAAGACGTTGGCGAGAACCAAGTGGTGACTGAATCTGCAACCATGACCAGACTGCAAGAACAGTAGGTTAAAGTGGGAGTGGTCGTACAAGAGCATCCGTGTACCAGTCGTGCCAGGACATCACAACAAAGACAAACTGATTTAAACTTTTAGTAAATTTGCCTATGAAAAAAATATAAGCACGTCTTGTTTAGAAAGTCGGTTCTGTGGCTAAGTCGATGCGAACGCTTCGTAATGCCGAAGTGCCGGGTTCGATCCCAGCTGTCGGCCATGCGCCTTGCGTTGGTTTCGACAATGGTATCAGGGGGCCAAATGTCAGAAAGCAATGGCAAACTACAGGACGTAAATTTGCCTAGAGAAACCACACAACAGCCTGAGGCTACTGGGGTTGGTTCTGCAACATCTTGTAAAGGATACGCGACTAACCTTGTTTAGAAAGTCCAGGAAAAACCCAAACACGCCAAAATCCGCCAGCTCATTGTCTTAAATCAGTTAAATTTCAAATACGCCAAATTGGTGGAATCTGGCGTTAAAAAACCAAAATGGCAACTCTTCCTTCCGCGTGTGCTGAATACTTTTCTATCCCCCAAAAGGAAAGGATGCGCCCGCGGTGCGGGCTCTGTTTTTGTACACCTAAACATATTCATCCTAGGGAAGTACATGGTGGCTGGAGTGCTGATAAATCAACGCAATATGGCGGCGCAAAAAAAAAAAAAAAAAAACTTTACAGAAAGGAAACACTAGCAGTTAGACCTAATTGTTTAGCCTCACTAGGGACAGTGGAAAAAAAAAGGTCCTTTATTAGGTCTACTTAATCTTTGTCTCCACCGCTGCCGTATACGTATTAATAACCACGGTGAAGCGAACCAACGCCTTCCCCAGAATACAGTCGGACGTGGAGCGAACACAACAGAAGCCTTCCGATCGTCAGCGGGAACACTTTTTGAACGTTTCGGTCGCTTTACACTCTTTGCAGATGAATATTGCAAGAAAAAAAGAAGAAAAAAAACGTTTTTTAGTTCATCGTTGTCTCCACGATTACCATGTGTTTAGTCAGTGCACCGAGTGTATCTGAGGCTCTTACTGCCCCCTGACCTGTGCCACCGCCCCCTGACCAGTTCCACTGCCCCACAAACTTGACCAACGAAGCTGCCACGTTCTCATCCCCACAGAGGGTTTGGACGCCTAATCAAAGTCAGGGATAGGAGAATTCTTACTGTTGGCAATCATCCCTCCCACCCCCCCCCCCCTAAAAAAATGTGATTGAGAAAACTATCGCGGCTCCCACTTTAATCATTATTTATTGTATTCCCTGTGTTATTATTTTCTTTCTTTAAAAAAAAAAATAATTATAATTATAATTGTTCAGGTGATCCGTTGCTGAAAGTACAAAGAGCTGAAATTTTAAATTTACGTTAAAAAAAAAATTCATAACGGGGTTAAAGCAGGACTTTTGGATTGTAAGGCAGATGTGATACAAAATACACTAGAATTTCTCAAGCATTTGTGACTGAAAATAAGACAATGTACAATGTGATAGACAGACATTCAGTGTCTGGTGTATAGTACAGACGAAAATGAATTTTAATCATGTCAGTACGTGACCATATTATCTGCTTGATCATTGAGGGATCAATTTAAAATCCAGTCGATGCTGGGAGCGAGTGATAGAGAATGAGTAAGAGAGAAAGTGAGTTACAGAGTAAGCGATTGAAAGAGAGAGAGAGAGAGAGAGAGAGAGAGAGAGAGAGAGAGAGAGAGAGAGAGAGAGAGAGAGAGAGTGAGTGTGAGTGTGAGTGGGAGAGGAGCATAAACAGAATATATATATATATATATATATATATATATATATATATATATATATATATATATATATATATATATATATATATATATACTTGGTGCGATCAAACTATTATAACCACATAGAGTCTGACTCAATGATAATCATATTGCTATCAAACATATCTTATTTATTTTATTGTTACTGTCTGTAGTTTCTGATATTGCTATTTATATGTCTGGGCTTCTGCCCTTCGAACGAATAATAGTACAAGTATTGAACTAATGAAGTGTTTACTGGATTTACCTGGGAAAAACAGAAATGGTCTTTCCTCGCGCAGTGTTTGTTGTGTGTCCAGTGAACCAAGTCGCGGATATGGAAACACCTATGTAATCCATATCATGAGTTAGGGATTCGTGTTTTCGATGTCCTCTTTCATGTCACTATACCCAGCACAGAACATGTTTCGAAAAGTACTCTTAAACTTTGAACTCATTGCTAAGTAAATGAAAAAGTTGGCAGTAGCGTTGATTGCTTCAAGGTGGATTAAAATAGACATAATAGCCACCAGCAAATTCCGTTGTTTGCCTCGATACGACAACTGAGGATACACCAAAAGAAATATATACACTACAGTTCCAGGGGCGTAGCAGGAGATAAAGACAATGGAGATAATCGTGACCATTTTGACTACTTTGCTGTCCCTGTTTGACATACCTCCTTGTTTCTGTGAAGATGTTTTTCCTCTCCATTTTGCATTTTTCTTCAGAGCCTTTACCAGAACAATTGTGCAGACGGTTATAAATATAAAGAAAATTGTTGGTAGAATATTGTTACTCCAGAAAGTTGCCTTTTCTATATCTCCTGTGTTAGCAGTTTTGTAAACGCCAAGAAGAGATTTGTTTCTACGAGGATCAAACATCCAAGCGACCCTTGTCGTATAAAACATGGGTGTCACCGATGCCATCATGATGACGTAGAGCACAACAATAAAAGTGACAGTTCGTCGGGGCGTGACGATAGATTTGATCTTCAGGGGAGCAACAATGCACAAGCAGCGTTCTAAGGTGATCCAGGCGGTTGTTCCCGTAGTCACTCTTGTAAACATGATATGCTCCCACACGAGGTAGTACATTAAGTGATGCGGGTAGAAGGGCAGATCCATTTTCATTACAGATGGCGTCCAACAGAGATTTGCGAAGAAGTGGAAAAACAACGAACCGAAGTCAGAAATGCTCAGCCCAAGAAGGCTAATGTTGACTGAGTCTCGAGTGCCTTGTTTAACGAAGACAACGATGTTTAATCCGTTAACTATGAGCCCTAAAATGGTCACACACTGTCCTATTCCCCATGTGTTGATCAGGGTGAAATACGAAAGCATCTCTTCATTGACTAGAATGTTTTCTTCTTGTGTTTTTACAGCTGACTCGTCGCTCAAGTTCAAAGACTGCATTTCGATTGTTCTTTTTTTAAATGTTTATCGGCTGTAAACTCTTACGGAATTTCCGGTTGCTAGTCCACTTCAGAACTGAAGTCTTGTTGTTAGAAGCTGCATTTTGATCGCATATCCGTCTTACAGATTTGGCTTTCTTGTACGCAGACGGTTGAATTTCTATTGCTTGCGTCAAAATCGACCTATACGGACATCCGCGTCTGAGGCATAGATTTGCAAATGATGTTTGTAATTGCAAGATACCTGGTTTGATTTCAGCTATGGACAATTTGATTTCAACAATGAAATGCAGAGCTTACTGTTCAGTAAGAAATGACAAAATACTGAAAATAAACATTGCGTAATTAAACTAAAAGCTGGATTTGGTTTGCACGCCTTCTAAAGGGTACTCAACAAGCTGTCATCGTATTTGCCCAACACTGCCTGCCACTGGGTCATCAGATGCCGCCCACTGTTTGATTAGTTCAAACTACCTCTGTCAGTCTATAGTTCTAATTTCACAGTTTGGTAGATTAGCTGAAGAATGTAGCACAGATCTTGATTACCTTTCTGCTTAACTGTTATTTCATACGACATTTTCCTTCAGATGGAAAGCTGATAAACTGAAAAGTAAAGATCATGTTTCACGCCTTTTGGCGCATCGGGCATATGGGAAGAGCACCCGTATTTGTATAGACTGATCGGCACTAGGTGGGTAATGTTGTCAGCAGTACGCCGGTCGTCTTTACTTCTCAAGGACATACATCCTGGTACCCATTTTAGGCTGGGTCGACCTGCGACGCCCCATACCATGATAAAAATCTACGCAGAAAGCACTGGGTTTCGATCGCGGTACGTTGGAATTACGAGTCGGACTCAAAAAGCCTGAGCCACGGACGCCGCCTGATAAACTGTAGTCGATGGCGTTTTGTTCTGTAGATTATTAAGTAAGGAAAGCAGAGTTAAAATTTTTAGAGCATGCATCTTCCTTGTACAGACATACGTATGTGAGTCCTAGAGTACCCCCCCCCACCCCCCAGTCATTAAAGAATAGATTAGGGGCTTCTAAGCTGCAATTCTGTAGAAAGTTTTGCAGAATACCGTGGACACAGAAGAAAAGAAATGCTGACATTCTCAAAGATCTGGACATCAAGGAAGATTGGATAATTAAGAGCATCTTGTCTCGAAAGCTGAAATATTCAGGCCATATCAATCGCCCCGGCAGACTGGGGAAAAAATAATAGCAGAAGTCAGGGTACCAGGACGGAGGGGCAGGTGCCTAACAACATATAGATGGGTTACAAGTGACTCCCTGGATAGGAATATGCACCAGACGGGAGAGCTGGCGGGAGACCGAGTTTCTGTCAGGCGGTCGGACCCTGATGGAAGCCACGTTCAGCAGAGGACCTGCTACATGATGATGATTAATCCGTAAGACTAGGCTGCAAGTGATTTTAACACAGACCTGCTTACATTTGTTTCAGCAGTGGTATTATGGACCATTCAAAAACTACCGAACATTAAATTCACACGTAAAACCAAAAACAGCGAACACATATTGGGTTTGCCAAACCACAACCGGCTCTAGCTGACGGACCGTGCTGCTGACGTCACCTGGTCGGGCTAACGCAGCGGTTCTCATACAAGAAATAATGTATTTTCGACACTAGCAAGGGAAGACAACTTAAATTTTAACTTTTAAGTATCTACATGCTTTCTTTAATAATTTCACAAATTTTAGCTGACGTTTCTTGATTCAGACTGCGGCACCCCTGGCATACGCTTACCGTACCCAGATTGAGAACCGCTGCTTTAACGCATCGTTAGCCCTGCCGGGTGACGTCAAAAGCTAGAGCCGGTCGTGGCCAAGCCATGTAAAGAATACCCAACTAACTTTTCTTAAAACGAAGATTTCATTTTTTTTTTAGTGCTTTGCATTATTCTAGCCATCTTCACTTGTTTTTGCACGTCTGTTTTATTTTTTTTTATTCCAGAGAAATTTGACTAAAAAGCTCAACAAAATGGGAAAGAGGAAAACGTGCACCAAACAACACAACGTAACGTTTCCACCGAGCAGCCTTTTTCAAATCTAATACCCAGACCCTTAAATGCAGTTTTTCATGTCGTGGCGACCGCCAAAAATAAAAAAAATTTTGTTGCCACTTCATAACTTAAGTGGATAAGTGTTTTCCGATGATATTTGGCGACCTCTGTGAAAGGGTAGTTCGACCCAAGAAAATTTTGCGTGACCCATAGGTTAAGAACTGCTGAGCCCCGAGGCTCCAACAGTTTAAAATAAAATCTTATCTCATAAAATGTTTAAGGATATACGCCTTTCAATATAAGGATAATGGAAATATGTTGCAGTTTAATTTTTATCAAACTAAAAAACGATAAATATGTATGCAAAAATTACATAAATTATATTGTTTAAACCTCTAAAAGGCTGTAAGTTACAACTGAAAATGTTTTATGTGTGTCTAGGAGACATTTTTAAAATATGAAAAGAAAATTGCATTTGTGAAAGAAAATGAGAATATTTTTAGATCCATGTAGATTGTGACATCCTTATCTATAGCTCATTTATATTTTTAGCACCGGTCGACTGTCTTTGTTCTCAGGCTGTCTTCTATTTCTTGAGATTTCTTTAAAATACGTTGTTTTGGTTTTATCAATGTGCAGTTTAACTACTGATGTATCTATTCATTTGACAGTAGCGTTTCCCAGGGTTTTGAGTCTTTTGACAAGATGTCAAAGTTTTCTGCTGAAAACTGCTCTGTTATGTGATTGAAACTCTTTGAATATAATAAAATGCCGAAGAGAAAAGGAAGATAAAGAAAGACTGCAAGATGATAAGGAAAGACAGCCAGACAGACAAAGACAGACACAGACAAAATGTGTTTAAATTAAGTGTCCCTTTACGAAAGTTAGGAATCATACACGAGGAGCGACTGGCGTAGCGACTAGACCGCTGGACTGCCATGCGGGATACTCTGGTTCGAATCCTCGGTAAGGTAATTGACATATTTCCTGTTAGAGGAAAGGAGAAGGCCCTAACCTGCAGAGTTTGTGGCATAAGCACTGACGATGCCAGCCTCAGCCAGCAGGCTCAAGACACACCTCCCCCTCCCGGCCTACACGGCACTGTTACCGCTAAAGTTGAAGAGGGTCGACTTCATTGCTTCTGGGTTTATCCCACACGTTTCAGTCTCTCTCTGTAGAGCAAATAAGCTGCCTGTTAGGGGCGTCACACAAAGTACGAACTCCGTAGCTTCAGCGACAATTCCCACCCATGGAACAGCGTAAAAACTGTGCTGGTGAACTGAACGACGCGTAGAATAAACTAATCCACGACACCTCAACTACACCTGTCTAGTATTAGGTAAATGCATTGAAAGCCAATTTGTTTTTCACAGATCATGTAATTATAACTTTACGCCATTTGCAGTCTGTAAAGATCAATCATTCTCCTTTCCATTGCTTGAAGCACATTATCTATATCTGAAATGTTGTCTCTAGTATTAACGTCATTGAAGTCGACCCTCTTTAGTATGAACGTCACGGTCTTTGCCAGTGCATTTAGCGGCACGTAAAGTCTTTCTCCCTCCTCCGTTTATTTTTGGCCAGAAATTTTGCTTTAAAATTTTTGTATTTTGGTCATCAGAAATATTACATTAAGTCTGGATGGATATCAGTTCTTAGACTCTTATAAAGCACTTACAAGAAAGACAACTCCGCGTTTCAACCGAAAGCTCATGTCGGACCTAACAGAAGGAATTGTGGACGAGAGTGGTGTTGATAGTTACAGGAGAGAGAAAGAGAGAGAGAGAGAGAGTTTACATGTAACTGAGATTTTCAGTCTAGAAACAGTATTAAATACTACACAGAGTTTTTCAAGAAACCATCATGGTAAACACTTGGGACAACACTCATAACCATAAACATATGACATTTTAATAAAAAAATTGAACAAAATTACAGAAACACATGACATCAGTATTGGCAAAACAATATGTTTTCTCTAACGTCTTTCAAATTATCTTTTACTGGCAATAAAACTGTTTTATGACTATTATTATACATTTTAAACAAACGCGGAAAGTAACTGGATAAACTCTTCTGTGCGGCGGTGACTGGTCGGGCAAACTGGGTAAAATCAAACAAAGTGTGAAAATTGTAAAATGTCACTGGGAAATCAAACTGCACTGCAAAACGCAACTGAGTTTTTAGTGCAAAGCGGTGTTTTGGATTCACAATTGGGTGACAATTCCATAATTCATAAAGTATGTTGAAATAAGTATTTGAGGAGGATATGTTATTTCAGCCAAATGTTTGTGTAATGAATGTGAAGTACACATTTTCCAAACAGAATAAAGTGATCGACAGGTCAACGCTAGCTGTCGCTAAATGTCAAGTATTGACAATGTGTCTACAATTATTCCAACGGGAGGAAAATACCTAATTTGGAATCTATTCCCCCCCCCCCCCACCTTTTTTTTCTCACACCTCCCTGCTTCCCTTCCCCGACTATTTTTTTTTTTTTTAGACAGATATTGCTACAATTTAAAATTCACACTAGGTTACAACCCGTGTGCATAAATCAATTATTTAAAGCCGACATCTCGGGATGTTGCACGCCTCCCCACCCCCACTAGCCATTAGAGAACTACCATGCTGGGTTCCCATTATCAAACTGATTTAAAGACGTCCTAACTCGTTTCCTACGCTTTCACGGCCGGCCTGACTGTCCCTCCATTGTCTATCTGCTGAAGCACTGTTGTTATAAATGAATAGTTTGTTCCATTATACTTTCTCCTTGTTTCCAGAGAGTCGTCAACAGGACCGCCTTATAAACTAGGATAAAGCCTATTAAAAGTGACAGACGCCCATCAAGGATCCTGCCTTCTCATTGTTCTGCTCACCAACGTATCTTCGGCAGAATATCCAAGATGGAATCTTAAAGCAAGGACAGCGACTCTTTGAGTGACATACTGCTTTCTTTTCCCCAAACATTACTTGCT